AGAAGAAGATCTAGAAAGACACCTATCAAACCATTAAGAAATATTATCTACCAAAGTAAATGATAAGAAGAGTTGGTGGTGATGAGTAAAGACATTCTATTTTACTCTGTATCTGTGCTTAGACACTAAGCCGCAATGACTATTTAAATTTAGATCAATTAAAATTAAAGATTTAGTTCTTCAGTCTACTATTCACACTACAAATGCTCAATAGTCCTATGTGGCTAATGACTATTATAATGGAAAATACATATAGAACATTTCCATCATCACAGAAAGTTCCACTGGACATGATAGTCTATGTTAATATTCCTGGATCACTGGAATTTTTTTTATAATAAGCATGCATTAATTTTATCATCACACACAGAATTATCTCCCCTCCACTCTCAAGCACACATCAAGAAAAAAAGTACCCATGAAATGAAAATTTAAAAACTAAAGATAGAAAAAAGAGTTCAGTGTAGTCTATCAAAAAAGGATGATTTTTTTATCACTAGCTATGACTTTTCTGAGTGATGTATTTAATACAGGCATTATGTGTATGTATTTTTCTAAATTCAAAAGTAAGCCAGCATTTCCCAAGATGCTTTCTTTTCTGTAGACCCCTGAACCTTTGCTATGCTTCAGATTCTTTGTTCCATAATTTTAAGAAAGGATGCATATAATATTCTTTTTATAAGGGATCCATAATGCAAAAAATTCTGAAAGGTCCTGCAATGATGAAATCTTTTGAATGTGAATCATTCTCCAAAAGATACTATAACTCAATCTGCCCCTACAAAAATATTAAATGCTACATCTTCTAAAAAATGAAAAAGAGAAAGGAAATACATTACCTAGTTGAGACAGCAAGCTGATGATACTTAAGACCAGTGGTGCAGTTATGCTTGGATCTTCAAGTAGCTCCACAAGGCAACTCAAGCATTCACTTGGTAGTATCTGATTTGGTGTAAACAATCGTGTGAGTTTCTGCCCAGAAATTACCTACAAAATAGTAATTAAATTGTGTTAGTTAAGAATTGGCAATTTCCATCCCTTCTCCATTTCAAATAAGAACTCAGTTCTTCCAAAGTGCCACTGCCATGCTTTTTTCCAATTTAGAAAAGTCAAATGCTATTCCTTCTGCTGGGAAGATTACCTATCCCTTCTCTCACTAGCTAATATAATCATTCAGATCCAAGTTTTAATTTGTCTCCTCCTAAAACTTTCACTAACCCTCTTTCACCAACTAGGTTAGTTTGCCTATTAAACTATCCTATAGCACATTATACTTTTATGAGCTGGCAAACTTTGACCACCTAGCAATATTTATCCTCTTTACTACACTGAACATCCTATGAAGGTATAGGGTATAAATCAACACTCTACTGCAATATATTTATTGAATAAATAAGTTCCAGTACATGCACTCCACCTATTTTGGGGGAGGCAATACAAAGTGAAAAGTAGTTAGATCCAAAGGCTTAGCTATGGGATTAAGTATGTGGTTACTCCTTTTGCTCCCTCCAAAGACAGTAGCTGAGCCCAGAAGTTAGAGATCACAAAAATGGAAGTTAAAAAAAAAAAAAAAGCTTTTAAGTAGCCAGGTCATGAATAGACAAATTTTATTTTTGGTTATTCCACTTTTACTCCTTTCTTAAAACTCTATAACCCACGCTTCCCTTTCCATGTGAAAAGGTAAAGCTGAGATTGAAAGCCAAAAACAGTAGTTAGACAGCCAGGTATTTTCTTTTTTTTTTTAAAGATTTTTTATTATTTACTTTAGAGAGAAAGAAAGAGCGAGGAGGGGGAGGGGCAGAGGAAGAGGGAGACAAGCAGACTTCCCGCTGAGTGGGGAGCCCAAAGGGGCGCTTGATCCCAGGACCCTGAGATCATGACCTGAGCAGAAATCAAGAGTCGGATGCTTAACTGACAGAGCCATCCAGGCATCTCGACAGCCAGGTATTTTCAAAAGGCTTTTTGAATGTTATTAAAAGCCTAACTTTTCTATAAAGAAAAGTATCTTTTCTATAAGGATGGAAAAACAATTAGTTACTTTAAAATTGGGTAAAATCTGTTGCAAACACTTCTATTTTAAAAAGATAAGGTCTGAAGAGGCTGTTTTAGCATCCCTATAATCTTTTCTTTCTGTATCTCTCTTTTATTTCCTCGCCCAGATGTCAGTTTTTCTTTTAAAGCTTTGCTGATATCTGGGGTGCTTGGGTGGCACAGTCAGTTAAGCGTCTGACTCTTGGTTTCAACTCAGGTCATGATCTCGGGATCGTGGGATTCATCCCCGTTTTGGGCTCTGCGCTCAGCGTGGAGTCTGCTTGAACCGCTCCCGCTTGTGTTCACTCTCCCTCTCTTTCTCTAAAATAAATCTTAAAAAAAAAAAAAAAAAAAAGAGCTTCAGGATATCTGTTCCCAAGGAGCATGTTTTAACATTAAAGTCTAAAAAGACAGAAAAAACAGGTCCAATGGTGAAATTACATACCGATAGTAGTAGTATTTGGGGGTAAGGAATGTTCCGATTGATCTTTTGCCTACTCATGAAGCTACACCTTCGAGATTAAGACATTTTCTGCTTTAAATACAATTTCCCTCAGGATGAGACCTGTATTTCAACAACGTAAATACTCTACCATGTAATAGTTATTTATTACAAGGTAAAATGTAAAAATCGCTTTACAAACTTTCTTCTTTACTTGGATGTTTTCATGCAAATAGAATTTATTTCAGTAATAACTAATATTTTAGTACTTACTTTGGCCTAAGCATTGTTCTATATATGTTAATTCTTTTCATCTTCATAATAACTGTAAGCTAGGCGCTGTTTTGCAGATGAGTAAACTGAGGCACACACCAAGACAGCAGCATAATTGAAATTCATTGTTCCTGAATCCGTGCTCATAACCATTATGTAACATTAGTGCTACAAAAAACCATTAAGAATGAGACCAGCTCAGCTCTGCCAATCATAAACAAATTCAAAGCTCAGGTCCTGCATGGGGCTATAAAGAAAAAATACTGCAGAAGTGCAGCAGAATAGCAAAATGAATCATCTCATTTCACATGGTAACCATTTCTTTGTATCCTCAGATGTAACACCTATTTTGCACAAAGATATTCACCATTAACATCACCCACCAAAATGGTTAAAATTTAAAAATGTGGAAACACCAAGTATCTATGAGAATGAGTGACAGCAAATTTCATGTGTTGCTGATAGGAGGGTAAAAATGGTGTAACCTGTGGAAAACTGCTCGGCAGTTCAGCTGAAACTGAACATCAACCTACCATAAGACCTAACAATCCCACTCCTAAGTATATAAATGAGAGCATATATCCAAAAAAGGTTTGGAAATGTTTATAACAGATTTATTCAAAATTCTACCCAGACCTAGAAACCCAATTGCCCATCAACAGAATGTACATAAGCTGTGGTACATTTATACAGTGGAATTCTACACAGCAATAAAAAAGAATGAAGTACTAGCACATGTGCAACATGAATGAATTTCACAAATTTATAGAACGGAAGAAGCCAGACACAAAAGTACGTATCTTATGAATCCACTTATCTGAACGTTATGAGAAGGGACAATTGAAAAAACCCTTATAGGGGACTCGAAATGTTCTGTATCTGGAACAGGAGGTAGCTAATTGATTGTACACGTATGTTAAGAACTCAAACTCTTCACTTAAGATTAATGCACATTATGTACTGCGTGTACTTTATCTCTCTAAATGGCAGAAGTTTTCAGTAAACCCCTTAAAAGTTCGGGAATGTAGTATCAAGGGGTCAGTCTCTAAGCCTTAAATTTCTTTGAGTCTCCTTCAATTCACTATAACAGGGCTCTCAGATTCAAGGCATATCTGTTTTTTCTCAAAGAGAAGTAATGTTTCAGATTAGTATTCAAAATGCTGTATTCCTACTTCTTAAATAAAACTGCTCATTCTGCGGCTTCTGGAGCCCACTAGCACATTGTTCTAACTGAGAAGCAAAGCCTTAGCATTTAACAGCTAACACCTCAATTATTAGGTTTGTACGGATTTGTTGAAATAATGAATGAAAAAAGAAAATGTACTCAGGAAGGGTGGACACTGAAGTCATAAGGAGAAGCATCAGTGAAGCTGGAGAAAACAAAGGCATATTTAATGCACTCCAGTATCACCAAAGATTGATGTTGCCCTACCATTCACAATCGTCTTCTCTCCGTAGTATGTATTTTGCTAATTTTTGGTAATTTAGCTTTTATATCATAGAGTTAATATAACAAAATATATAAGAAAAGCCGTAAGCAACTGGTTCAGATTGTAAACTGCCTAAGGGACAAGGAATAAAACAATCGTCACTCCCCATCACCTCCACCCCCGAGAATTTCTGTGTATTCTATTCTGTAAGAGTTCTGTTGCGATGGAAAAACCAAAGAAACGAAGGAAAACAGAGCTCCGAACTTTCTCCTCTACTAATCCCCAACACAGCTTAAATTCCCCAACCTATGTCACACCTTCCCGTCTTCTTAGGACTTTGAGTAGTCACTCTTCCCTCTAGCTGCAGTCAGCTGAACGCGGAGGGACTTGGGGCAGAGTAAGAAGATGGGTGGGAATTCAAGGCTGACACTCGCCTTCCTTACTAATACAAAAAGACACCTGAGGGAGCGAGGAGCAGTCCTTCCTTTCCTAGGCTGGGGCAGCTACACCCTGGCCGCACCGTGAACTAAGGATTTCTACAGGGAAGCCCGTCTAGTCCCTCACCCTGGAGCCACTCACCTCCAAGTGCCGCAAAAGCTGGGTGGCATTCGCCTCCGACTTAACGGCTTTATACTGACTGATGGTCAGGAGCAAGGACTTCAAGCAGGCGGTAGAGTCCATTGGCACCCGCCACAACCCCTCCTGGGGGCCACCACCTGCCAGCTCCGGCCTCCAGCTTTCGCCGCGCTTTTTTTGATTTTTCAGCTCCACCCCCTCACTCCCGATGCTTCCGGTTCCGGTAGGGCTCCGGAAGTCTCTAGGCACTCTGGGGAACTGCTCTCAATGAAGAAAGGGGAGGAGTGGGGAGGGGGGTCGAGGAGGTCTGTACTTCCAGAACCCCCTTCCCACTACCCACCGAGTCCTCGCTTAGCTGAAAAGCCGCGAGGTTTCAGCTTCGAGATCGCGTGGAGACGATAAATCTCGCGAGAAATGTGATTGCGCCTCAACTTGCGAAGGGGCGGTTAGGCGGAAGAGGGTCCCTGTTCGTCAGAGGTCTGACTTTATGTTTGCTTCTTCGGCCTTCACCGTGGATGGCCGGCTTTTCTTTTGTGCGTGAACCGCTACTTGAGAAATGGTCGCTTTCCCCTAGTCTAGACACGGTGAGGAGCTCTGAGGAGAATCTTGGGCTCTAGATTTTGAGGCGGCCTGGGAGGGGCCTCTTTTTAAAATCTCTCATATGTCCACCCTTTCTATCCAGGAGTGTTTGTTTTTCAGAGTAAGCCAAGACCATTGGGATTCTGTGGCAAGGTAGTCATGCCCTTAAGGTAGTCGTCAAACTTATTCCAGAAAGCTAGCTCCTGGTGACTTCTGGGCCAGGTATTGCTGCGGAGGGTGTTCTCATTAGCATCAGTTTTTGTAAGTGAAGGTGTCTGTTTTTATCTGGCGTGATCGAATGTTTTCTAAATCTCGGTGTCTCTGAACATGGCACTGTCGTTTGCGGTTTTTGATAAGAGAGAATTATTGTGCATGTGTATATAATGAACTGAGTAGCTGGTTCTGGAGCTTTTTTTGCTTAACGTATGTTAATGATTGAATTAAGCTTTAAAAACCAGTTTGGGGAAAATTGTAAGAGTAGGGTACATGTCCTCTTAATTAAACCATTCGTCATTAATCATGTTTGGTCAATTCAAAGAAAATATTTTTACATCATTGCATTTTTAAAGGCAGGATTTCTTTTTATATTTTTTAATTAAATCTGAAAGCTTACAATCTAGCCAGTTGAGACATACATGTAAAAATAATTGGGTAATGTATCTATGCATTCATTCTGTAAACAATTATTGATTGTAAAACGGGTTAGAAGTCATAAGAGAACAGATGATGAAGTATCCCCTGCGGGGAAGCAACTGTCTAATTAGGGAAATGTACTAAATAGGTAGTACATATGGAATTCATGTAAGTTAGAGGCACCATGCAGTTATTTAAAGAGTGAAGCCAGACTGTGTACTTACAAACTCTAGTTCCATCTTTTACTATGTGACCAGTGTGGCAGATTCTCAGTGCTTCAGTTTCTTCATTAGGTAAAATCCAGCTAACAGTAGTACCTGTTTAATGAGATAAGGTCAATAAATAATTCACTAGATCATTGAGAGCCTACAGTGTACTAGGTACTTGTCATAGGCACTAGAGATTTAGTGAATAAAAAATCCTGTTACGGAAATTACATTCTGGTAGGGGGAAAAAACAGTAAGAAGTGACAGGAGAAAGAGTGAGATGGAGAAAGAAAAATTAGCTGAATTACATTTTGAGAGTAATGGTGATTGGGAAGAAAAGAATTGGGAGGTCAGGAAAGAGAAAGCAGTATTTGAGGAAGTGCTTCAAGCTGTTGAAGGAGAGAGCCATGCTCTCCAGGAGAAAAGGTCCTAAAGTGGGACCATGAAGTTTGTCAGGAACAGCAAGGATGCCACTATGACTGGAGCAGAGAGCAAGAGTGAGAGTAGCAGTAAAAATGAGGTCACGTCAGGTGGTGTAAACCATTATAAAATGAGTTAATCAACTTAAAAAATTTAGAGCAGTTGCCTGGCATAATTAGTTCTCAGCAGGTGTTAGTTACATCTTGGTTCATTGGCAAATGCAATGATAACAGTTAGGTTAGTGTTAGACTTTTCACTAATAATAACAAATGCGTTATCTTCATACTCATTCTGAGCCAAGGGAAAAGGTCCAAGCTGCTAGTTGTAAATGCCATCTTTCTTTAAAATCTTGCGTTTTAACTTAAGCAGTTATATAAAATTTGCATTCTCTTCTGTAAAATATTCACTTTAATATAAAATAATGTCTTTCTCAAAAACCTTAAAAAATTGATGTTGGAGGTTTAGTATGTACCATGGTGGTAGCTGTGAGAAGCCCTCATGTATTTAAGCAGAAATACTCGCATATCCTAATAATGAGGCACACAGAGCCTTATTTTAGGCACCAGAAAGGGGGGGAAGGAGGAGGACGAGATGAAGCTTGGTCCAGATGACTAAAGACCTTATTATTCTTGATCCTGAATTCAGTGGTGATTTCTAGTTTTAAAATGGGGCCTGATCTATTTAGGTTTGTGCTTTATGTTGATTACTTTGGCAGCTGGGTGGGCTAGGATTTTGAGATGGGTAAGGTTAGAAGTAAGGAGAATGTTTAATTTGCTGCTCTCTTTCCAGAGGATTACCAGGGTAATTGAAGTGGAGGTAACGAAGAGGTGACAAATTTGAGGAATATATATGAAGTGAAATAGGCAGGACATAGTGACTATTTCGGGTATGAAGAGGGATTTCAAGTTTCTAGTTTGGGTGATTGAGAAGATACAGATATTGCTGAGGTAGTTAATAGTACTCATGTTGTGGTATGTTCAGTGAAATTTCATATAATTTATCATATAGTCTTGTATTAAGTTTCTTCCAGGGCATTATATAATTTTTGTTAATGTGAGTGGGTTCTCTTTTTCTCCTTTAAAATTTTAATTTGTTATTGCCACTATAATAAAAGCTGATTTTTGATACATCTTTTATCCAGACCCTGACTAAAATCTCTTATTACTTTTAATAGAGTTTTGTTTACTCTCTTAGACTTTCTAGCTGCATATCATCTGCAAATAATTTCATCTCTTCCAGTATTTGTTGTCTTTATTTCATTAATGCATGCCAAAAAAATGGAATAATTATGGTGATACTGAACATCTTTGTCTTATTACTTAATTGAATGGGAATGACCAGTATTTTAACACTTAGTATAATTTGTGCTATTGGCTTGTAATAAACAGTCTTTCAAATGTTTAGGAGATTGCCCTTTATACCTGTTTTATTTAAAGATTTTCCAAAATGTCTACTTAAAAAAATGATCAAATATTTGTTTATAGATCTCATTTTCCACTTTAACATGATAATGCAATGTATTTTGCTTTTTTGTTCTTGGGATAATAGTAGCTAACACTGAGCATTTGTTATATGTCAAGCACTATTCTAAGAATTTTATTCTTACTAATTAATCTTCATAACAAGTTCATGCATTAGGTACTATTACGATCTCCATTTTACAGGTGAAAAAACTAAGGAGAGGTGAAATAATTTGCCCAAGGTCATACAGGTAATAGTAATAAACCTTGTATTTGCTGTGCTACAAATATTTTATTTAGGATTTTATATTTGAAATTTTTTCATTAATTTTTTTTAGTTCTCTCTTTTGGAATTTGGGTTATATGTTACTTTTGAAAAATGAGTCAGAAGTTTTTCTACTTTCTATACTATAGAATGAGAATCACATTGGAATCTGATCCATGTAGATTGAATACAACTGGCCTATAAAATCAAGCTTGATACCTTATTTAATGGTAGATCTTTAGAAAATATTTGAATTTGTAAAATGGTTATAGATCTGATTACTTTTTTCTACCTTTTCTTGAGTTAAGTTTGGAAATAGAAATTTTTTTTAACGCAACTATTTCTTTAGATTTACAGATTTTTTGATATAAAGTTCCATCAGTATTCTAGTAATTCTCTTAATCTCTTCATTGTAGTTTTAAATTAACTTTTTCATTCTAATGTTACCTGTCTTTTTTCTTATTTGGGCTTTCTAGGGGTTTGTCTGTTGTATTCAGCTTTTCAAGAACTAACTCTGATTTTATTCTTGTTTTTCTTTTTTCAGAATCACTAATTTTACTTTCATGGTTTATTCCATTCATAGGGGTTTGTCTATTTTATTCAACTTTTTAAGAACCAACTTTGTTTTATTTTTTTCTTTTTTTTAGAATCATTAATTTTACTTTTATGTTTATTCCATCCATATACAAATTTTTCCTTTATTCTTATAGTTTTTAAAAGTTACAGGTTAGCATATTTACATACTATATATATTTTCATAAAGAACATTTATTTATGCCCACATATTTTAAGAAGACAGTAGCTAAGATGAGCATCTGTATTTCACTTAAAAAAAAATTAGTTTAACCAACTAGATAGTTTTTTTAAAATACTAATATTCCTTCATATTCAAAGAGCTAGGTTCTGTTAGACAAACCAGAATAAGTGCTGTTGAGAAAAATAGATTAGCTTTTTAGGAACACATGATATTTTTTAGGGCAAAATATCAATATCTTCAAGTTTGGCCTAAAATCCCTTTTCTCCATAAATTTTTATTGCTGTCCTTTATATTTGCATAGATATTTTTCTTAATTTGTAGTTCCAGAAACACATTGAAGGGAGTTTTAAAAAACTTGCTTAGGATCTTACAGCTCAGTATTAGGGCTCCCTATCTCCTTTATTTCTTCCGGAAAAACTTAATATATCTTCAGTACTGTAGAGTAAAATGGATATTTGTAATGTCTCATGACCAGAGCTGAAGTCCTGTTAGATAAATCAGCCTGAATGAAGATACAAATTTTTGACAGAAGTGCAGAGTTTCTAGAATACTAAATGTTATAGTATGAGAATTATACCAAAAGTGTGAACACAGGGCTGATTGTTCATTCACCCACCATACATTTAATGAGTGCTTGAGTGGTTAAGTACATTTCTGAGTTCTGGGGTTATGGCAGTGAATCAAATAGACAAAAAATTTCTACCCAACTAGACCTTTTATTTTAATGCGACATATAGACAACAAATAAGACCTGTAAGTAAAATGTATGAATGTAGCAGTAAGTGCTGTGGAGGAAAAGAAAAGAGGGATAGGAGGTATCAGAGTCAGGATGGAGTGTTGGAATTTTGATTAGTAGGACATACTGTTCAGTATTTGCTGTGTAGCAAATCACCTCAGACAGTGGTTAAAACCATAAGCACTTATTTCTGGGTTGACTGCAGTTAATCTGATCTAGACCTGATTTGGCTGAGTGGCTCTGCTTCAGCCATTTTGTGGGTAGAGGGCAATATCTAGAGCTCAGTTTCAGTTATGTTGCAGTGTCTACTAGACATCCAGGAGATGCTGAGTGGGCTGTCGAATAATAATATTTGTAGTTAACGGAGAGGTTAAGACTGAAGATAAAAATTTAAAGCCTTGAGCCTAAATGATAAAGGGTGAGTATGGATAGAAAAGACTGAAACGTAGGGTACTTAAATATTTAGAGGAACAAACAAAGAACACGGAGAAGTAGTTGCCAGAGGACAGAGGCCCTGTCTTTATTCCA